GCTGTGATTTGACAGCGTTACCGGGTTGGCGGGTGTTCATTTCAATGTACTTGCATGTTTAATTTTGCATTAAAAGTTACTTTTGTGATGCAAAAAATTCACTCATGAAATGCAGCATGATATCAGATATCAGATATCGGACAAATACAGTTCGGCCGCCTTTATAATGATGCTTTTCTCTTTGTCTCACAGTCGCAGAGATCTGTGCATCGAGAGGAACAACACTTTCAAGTAAGAATGATGAAAGCAAACCCAGAATGCATCTGTCTCTTACGTCTGCTCCTCTTTTGACATGTGTGTGTGTGTGTGTGTGTTCAGATGTCCTGTGATGCTGGTGGTCGGTGATCATGCTCCGTATGAAGATGCTGCTGTGAGTCTTTACTCAAATAAACACGTTCATCCACAAATCCCCATGATTCCTCTCACTGTGCGTGTGTGTGTGTGTGTGTGTATGTGTGTGTGTGTGTGTTTCTGTCCACTAGGTGGAGTGCAACAGCAAACTAGATCCAACGACCACCTCCTTCCTCAAGGTTTGGACTGCTCCTAGTTTTATGCATAATTTGATCAATGATAAAACAAATAGAAGGGCAAAAAAAATGATTTATGTTGTTTATTAGATTGTTGTCAGAAAATCAAGACGATTTGTACTTGTTTTTCTCTCCAGATGGCAGACGCCGGAGGGATGCCACAACTGACTCAGGTACGCCACGTCACTTTAAAGTGGATTATTTATCAATGCAATTCATTCGTACTGATGAAAGTGTGCGGTGTGTGAATGAAATGTGTGTGTGTTTACAGCCCAGCAAACTGACAGAAGCCTTTAAGTACTTCATTCAAGGCATGGGATACAGTAAGTGACCCGAGAGGGGTTCATTCATGAGAAATATCACAAAAAATGATCAAATTGAGTATTTACACTACCTATTTTGAAATAAATTAATACTTTTTATTCAACAAGAACATATTGAATTGATAAAAAGTGACTGTAAATTCATTTATAATGTCAAAACATATTTCTATTTCAAATAAAAAAAGGTTCTTTTGAACTTTCTATTCATCAAAGAATCCTGAAAAATAAAATGTATGACAGTTCACACAAAAAAAGCTAAACTATTTCCAACACTGATAATAATCATAAATGTTTCTTGAGCATCAGATCATCATATTAGAGTGATTTCTGAAGACTGGAGTAATGATGCTGGAAATACAGCTTTGATCACAGGAATAAATTACACTTTATTCACATAGAAAACAGCTGTTAAATTGTAATAATATTTCACAATTTGTACTGTATTTTTGATTAAATAAATGCAGCCTTCTTTCAAAAACATTTTAAAAATCTTACCGATTCAAACCTTTTGAATGCCAATCTAATACTATACACAGCAATGATTTATCTTCTCATCACTAAACAAGTTTAACCCACATAACTGGAGCAAATGGATTAATTATCAGTAATTAATCGTTGACAGAAGCGCCATATTTCCGTTTCTGCATTAAAAATAGCAAACCAGCAACTAGTTTTAATTCCAGTGACATTATTTAGTTCATATTTAGTCATTTTTCCGTGTTTGTTCTCTGACGTTTGCTGCTTCTCTACTTTTTTCTCCTTTTTTTTTCCATAAATGCAAAAAATACAAAGTTGTCATGTTTATAATACACAATGTTTGTGTATAATATACAAATCAAAATGGTCAAAATATACTCTGACCGTCAGCACAATACAGAGAAAGAACTGAGTTAATTTGACAGACAAAAAGAGAAAGAGAAAAAGGAACACGAGGGTAGAAAATTAAATTGAAGACATTCTACTTGCTTTCTTATTTGCTGAAGATGAAATGCTGTGGAGAAACTTGTTAAATTCTTTAAAAAAAAACTAAACATATTGTCAAGCATTCTCTTTAGCAGAGTCAGATCGCTCTCAGAAAAAAAGGTACAAAAGCTTCACTGGGACGGTAACTTTTAAAAAAAGGTACACTTGTGTTCCTTTTAGGTGCTAATATGCACATTTAAGGTATCAATATGCGCTCTTTAGGTACAATAGTGTGCCTTTTGAAAAGGTACCGCCCCAGTGACAGCTTTTGTACCATTTTTTCTGAGAGGGTCGTCTCCTAAAATAATGTCCACATCTTGCAGGATATTATCATTATTAATTATATGTCACAGTGTCTGGTTTGTGTTTCCCCAGGTGTCCACTAGAGGTCTCTCTCCCTCACTGTCACCATTCGTTCTGGAACTGCATTTCCCACGATCCTTTGTCTGTTCTCATCACTCATCATTGCACGCAGCTGTTTCCCAGTACATTGTTTAGTTCTGTGTATACACCCTGTCTAGTTAGTGTTTGTCACGGAGTCGTTATATATTATCACACCACGTCTGTGTCTGTCTATTCATTGTTCCTTGTGTTTTGGATGGCTTATGTGGATATTGACCCCTGCCTGGACTGTTTTGTGAGTAACGGATTTCCCTATTAAAAACTTGCTGCATTATTGGATCTTCTGTGTTCCTTGAGTGTGGATCGTGACAGAACGAATGGTGACAGTAAGGGAGAGAGACCTCTAGTGGACACCTGGGGAAACACAAACCAGACACTAATACTTTTCCAAAGTTGTGTGACAGGCCCAAAATAAATGGAAAAAAATCATGTGTCAATATCATTTTTATACGTCTTCCTAAAATGTTTAACAGGGTAAATGTGTTAACCGTCTGCTTGTCTTCCTCCTCCAGTGGCGTCGTCCTGCATGACGCGTCTCTCTCGCTCGCGCACCACCTCTCTCTCCTCCTCCTACTCCATGGAGGGCTCTCGCTCCCGATCCCGCACGCTGTCCCAGGGCTCCCAGGGGGGACAGCTCCCGCCCAGCCCGTCCCAGACCATGGAGGTGTCGTGCTGAGGAGCGCCGGCGCCGAGAGATGCAGCGCTCGAGTCCTGCGGGCCGTGAAGCGAGTGACGACTCTCTCGCTCCCTTCGCCGACCCGCCAGGCATGGGCCTTTAGTGAGCCCAAATGTAGTGTTAACCAATAGTAATACTTCTAATACGAATAATGATTATGACATTAATATTAATAACGACAAGCGTCACTTAAAAATAACGATGTTTCTCTTAAATACATGTTGAATTTCTAAACAAAAGAATAGAGAAAAGAGTATATAAGCTCATGATGTGTGTCTATCGACTTTAATGTGATTTTTTTGGTGTGCTTTTTTCTTTCGGTTTTGTATTTTGTATTTTTTTTTTTTTCTCGTACACAATCCTGCTGCTGTGGGAGAGGAACAGTGTTTCCGGAGACAGTTTTAGGCCGAACGAAGACTCGTCTCTGTAGTCGACAGCCAGCTCATGTCTTCCATTTGATCCTTTGCGAAAAAAAAAGAAGCTATGTACGTAAAAAAGCGAGAAAGAAAGAGACTGTAATTATATTTGACTTTGATTTGTTTGGTTGCGGGGGTCGGGGCCGTTGGGGTCTTTGCCTGTTCTGAATTGCATGCCAGAATTTGTTTGACCACGTCAGTCTACATTTTTGTTTTGTTATTACGTTCCTTTTATTTCGGTGAGTGTGTGTGTGTGTGTGTGTGTGTGCGTTCAGTAGGAAATAAAAACGTGACAGTCACAGGAGTCGTTGTTTTGAAGCCAATGTGAAATGACGTTCATATTTCACTTCTGTAATCTAATGTATTTTCACTGAAACGGGAAACTCAGTGAGAATAAATGCAGGACGGGATTGTCTGTGAGGAATTGATCAAATGGTGAAAAGTGTCTCTACGATATAAGAAGAAATGGAGGACGGCGGTCGAAAAGGAAAGCTGTTTCAGCGAGTTTGATGAAAGACTACGGAGATGCACAAATCGTTCACAGAAAGAGCAGAAATATGGATTAAGAAAGTTAATAAATTCACGTGGACGTTCGGGTGAAAGCGAGCAGGATTGTTAGAAGTGCTTCCATCAATGAGTGTGTTTACATGTACAACAAAACTATCACAATCAGCTCATTCTGAAAACTCACCCTGCGAATCAATGAATCAAAGAACACACTTATTTTGACGTTATACATTTTTCCCGTCACAATAAAAAATGCGCATGTCTGCCTGAAAGGAAAAATTCTGAGTAACTTGTTTCGACATCTATTCTAGTTCCATAAATGAAAAACGAGTCACTTGTGTGTGTCATGAATGAGCCGATAGCCGATGAGAAAGTGAAACTTTTTGCAAATTGGTGGAGAATTAGTATGCTGTGATTTGTATGAAAACGTGTCATTTTTTTTAAAGAAAAGAATACCAACTCACCATCAATTCACCAAAGTGTAAAATAGTTACGAATTGCCACAATATTGTGTTAGTCATTTCCATGATCCAGTGCTTTGGCATTTAGAGGCTTTCCCCAATAAAAGCCCACTGTTTAAGGCATTATTAAGTATCACCGGTGTAAGGTCATGCATGCAAACACACTCATTTAGTTGTGACGCAATCACTGGTGTAGTTTGAGAAAAAAACCTGCAGGATGAAACGTTTGACCTCGTCCAGTGTAGCAGTGAATCATAGGAATATTGGTCTTTATTCGAGCAGATGCTGACCTGTAAATGGGAATTAATCTACAGTGTGTCTTCTTCGTTGACTTTTCAACCCGATTACATCAGAAAGCGTAACTATTTTACAAGGTGGCAAATTCCTAAGATGTGATTCGTACAGATACGTGCGGTTTTTAGAAAAACTTAAGCATGAGGGTCCACGTCTAAGCACCAGTGAGGTGTAAAGAGATCGAGACATGTTCCCTAATCCTGGAACAACATTCTTGTCCAACAATTTAGTCTAGTCTAAACCTAGCCCTGCCCATGACCTAGCCTTAAATGATGCTGAATAACACTGAAGTAGAAGCACCTAACACTGATGGTAAGCCTAAGCTTGTCCCTAAGTCCCTCAAATCTGATTGGTTGATTGGAATGTAGTTCCAGGATCAATAAAGATGCTTCAATAAATTGTATAGGTCAATACGATTATAGCCACCAATAGTCAAAATAGTAAAATAGTTGCCATGAGTTGTGTCTTTGAGTGTGTACGATGGCAGTACCAGATTTGTGGATGTGTGCTATCGTTGTACCATGGTATTTTTTGAACTACAGTGGAGTATATTATCATAGTACAGTATTTGACTATGGTACTCATCTAGTACTGTGGTTTACATCAAAATACCATGGTACTGCCACCGGACTATAACCCGTTTCGATGAAAAGCGTCGAGGGTTGGCTCATGGTGATGCACGTTTGCTTTGTTTCTTTGAATGGCCGTCCCTGGGTTTAACGTAACTCGAGAGCACTAGTGTACTCATCTAATGCTGAATCATAGTGACTCGTACACAGAGTAAAACAGTGCGTGTGGTCGCGAGTGTCAGCGCTTTCTGACATGTCTGAGCGTGTGTGAGGTGCTTACACTCTCTAAAGCACAATAGGGAAATATGCGTGCGTTTGTCTAGAAGAATAGTGACGATTCAAAGCGCTTGTGTTACATTAACTTTTCTGACTAACCAGCCCCTTCACTGCCAACAGGGTTTAGCCACATTACGTCCAAGAGCTCGTTCAAGCATCAAGCCACTGAGATTAGAAAGTTAGCATAGCTGCAATGTATCAATTGTAACAATTTACAATGTGAAATTGTGCGACAGTGAAGTGACGTATAGAGAACACCGAAATCACTGCGGGTTTGTGCCATCATTTTTACCAGATTGCCAGATGACCAAAACTGTCCTCACAACTGCAAATGCATCGTAACAATCAGGTTCAGCAAAACACTGCCCTGCAAATAACAATGAGACATTAAATGTTTCAACAACGTTAATTGGAAAGTTCTTCCAGTAGTGCCGTGAACATTCGTTGGTTTGTGCTTGCAGGAGCACTTTGTCTGTAGAGATTCTCAAATCACATTTCATCCTGTTTTAGAGAGGTTTTATTTTGTTTACGAATAAGTTGGAATTAGTTGGACGTGTAAGCAGGAGACGTGGTGTTTTTCCTCTTTCTTTCGAATGGAAAGTTCATGTTGTGATCAGTGTGGGTCATCCCATCATCATCCCAGATTCACATGAGCCTTTACCAAAAATAGAAATAGTTTGAATCTGAAATGTTTTACCAAATAAATAAAGAAATAACCATAAAAATGTGAATTAAAACTTAAATAATGAGGTAAAGGGACGGCTTAGGTCGTGGTGTGTGTTGCTGAGACGGTGTGAATGTAAATGTGTATCCATTTTCTTTCTTTCTTTTTATTTTTTGACTCTCCTCAATGAAATCCTTTTCACCTTTTATTTTCTGTGAATTAGATTTGCATCTCAATGTCCTCATGGGTTAGACATCGGTGTGCTAGTTCTTGTGTAACTTTTTTAGCTTTAGCACTAAAAAAGGAAATAGCTAATGTAATTAACAAATAAAAAAAATAAAATAAAAAAAATGTCATGAATAACAGAATGCAATCAGAATTATTTGTGTGGCTAATTTCTCTGTGTAATACTATGAACAACTGGGAAAAAATAATTAAAGGGATCAAAATTACGCTCTTGTTATTTGTTTCTTATTTTCATAGATACTTTTGGGTCATGCAAAAATATTCTTATGTTGTCCTGTGGATTGAATTGGTCAGACTTTTCAGGTTCCTTGAATATATAACTCATCATCAGAAATAGATAGAGTGAAAATGTGCAGTTTTAAATGTGTATTTGTTTGCGTTATGATCATATAAAATAAACTAGTCTTTTCATAAGATCTAAAACAATACATGTACATTAATTAACCATAATTTTTAACCTATTTTGTATTTAAGGTTTACATTTAAAGTACTATTTTAAAAGTTTTTCACACACGATTTAACAGGAAAAGACAAAAAAAAAAAAAAGAAGTGAAAAATTTTAGGGGGTTCTGAAGAGCCAAACAAAATTATTTCAATTATACTCTAATTTAAATAAATAAATAAAATGTCACGACATCAGAAAGGCAGGCAATTTTTTTATTATTATTATATTTAATCGTGTGTGAAAAAAATAGTGTGTTAAATCGTGTGTGAAAAACTTTTAAAATAGTACTTTAAATGTAAAACTTACATTTTTATTTAACCAGGGAAAAAAATCACTTTGAGATAGATAGGCCAAGGTAGCAGCGCACAGTAAACATAATAAAAACAAAGAAAAAGTACGATTAAATACATAAAACAATAGTCACAACACACATATACACACTCACACACTCACAACCACACACATACACACTCACACACACACACAACAAATAAAACAAAATTAAAAGTTAAGAACAGGTGTAGACAGTTTTGAATGTTTGATTGAGATATGACTTAAACTCATTGATTGAGATAAAAACAGTAAGTTTCAATGATCTTTGAATCTCATTCCAAGCAGTTGGTGCACTATAAATAAAAGCAGTTTTTCCAAACTCTGTCTTCATTAAGGGAACATTTAAAATAATATATCTACTTGAACGCAGATTATAGCCTTGACTATTGACAGTTAAAGAATAATCATATACAGAGGAAGCTGACCAACTATGGCCTTGTACACAAGTATAAGCCAATGCTTGTACCTTCTAAAGTGAAGTGAAGGCCAACCAACCATTTCATACAGTGCACAATGATGAGTATAATAATTTGTATGAGTTATAAATCTAGAGCAGAGTCTAATGATTGTAAAAGAGCCTTAGTGGTATTTCTGTAATAAAACATCTCCATAATCTAAGACAGGTAAGAAGGTATATAGCTTCCACCAACTTTCTCTTGGCCGACTGTAAAAACTGGCACTGTTCCGGAAATAAAACCCCAGCTGTAACCTTAACTTAGATAGAAATTGTTTAACATGTAACTTGAATGATAAATCCTCCTCCAACACAAAGCCTAAATATCTGTAGGAGGAAACCAGTTCTATAGATTTACCCTGCAGAGTGTAAAGAGGTAATGGAGACAATTCACACTCATGTCTCCTAGAAAAGACCATGCATTTTGTTTTCTTATCATTCAGAACTAGTTTTAAAAGAGGAGGTTGCGCTGAACCATTACAAATGCTTCCTGCAACTTTGAAATGCAACTATCAATGGAAGATGCAAAACAATAAATTATGGTGTCATCTGCATATAAATGAATACTTGCGTCTGATAGGTTATCACCAAGATTGTTAATATATAGTGTAAATAACAGCGGACCCAAAATGGACCCCTGTGGCACACCAGATTCAATACTGAGCCTATCCGAAAGAGACCCCTTAATTTGCACCCTTTGGCACCCATTCTTTAAATAGTTCCTAATCCAACCTAATGCGGTTTCAGAAAGACTGATACTATGTAGACGTGATAGTAGAATACCGTGATTGACAGTATCAAAAGCTTTAGTCAAATCAATAAACACTGAAACACATGATCTTCCATTATCTAGGGCGCAGGCAATGTCATTTAGACTTTCATAGTGGCTTTTACCGTACTATGATTCTTTCTGAAACCGGACTGAAACCTAGACAAAATGCTATTACTAACCAAGAGCTGTTCCTTTAGCTGTTCGCTGACATTTAGAGAGATTCTAAAATTTTGGCTGTAACTGATAGCTTAGAAATCGGTCTATAATTATTTAAATTGGTTGGATCACCTTTCAACAGGGGTACAACCAGAGCAGATTTCCAGACATCAGGGACCGGACAACATTCTGTTCTAAAGATAAATTAAAAACATAAGCTAGTGGGCCAGCAATGATCTCAGCAGCTACTTAAAAAAAATATGGCTCAGCTTCATCAGGCCCTGCAGATTTCTTAATGTCCAGGTTTTTTAAGGCCTTTAAAACTTCACTTCTTAAGATTGGAGAAAAAAGTAGGGCAATCATCTCTCAGAAGTGGAGATGGATTTGGTATATCACTCACTGAAATTTCATTAAAAATAGAATCTGAAGAAATAAAATGCTTATTAAAGCTATTTACCATATCCGTCCTGTTAGTAATAGGGCTATATTTTACTACAATTTCATCAGGAAAATCATTAGATAACATGGAAGGAGAAAGTGATTTGATGGTTTTTCAAAATTGAATAGGATTATTTAGATTTTGTAAGGTTTCATTTAGATAATATTCAGATTTAGATCTGCGTATAAAAGCTGTACATTTGTTTCTCAATGTTCTAAATGCTACCCAATCTCTTTCTGTATCCGATTTCCTCGCTGTGGCCCGAGCCAAGTTTCTTTCATGAAGGAGTTCAGATAATTCATTTAACCATGGATTATCCATATCACGGCCTTTTACTCTGAAAATCGTAACCAATTGCATTGGTTACCGGTGTGTTACAGAGTAGAATTTAAAGTATTACTTTTAGTTTATAAATCTTTAAATGGATTAGCACCAACGTACCTAGTAGAATTATTAATAGAACAAAAGCCTGCAAGGTCTCTACGCTCTTCAAATCTGGCCTTACTGTCTACCCCAAAATCGCGCCTAAAGCGCAGAGGAGATCGAGCGTTTTCCATCGCTGCACCTAGACTTTGGAATACTCTCCCAATTAGCTTAAGACAGGCTCCATCTCTTACTATTTTTAAATCCAAACTTAAAACCTATTTATTTTCAAAAGCTTTTGATTAAAGACTGTGTTTTGTATGTGTTTGCATGTTGCTTGAATATGGGGTTCCTTATTGATTTGTGAGTCTATGTGGAAAGCACATTGGTCAACAGCTGTTGTTTTTAATAGTGCTATACAAATAAATTGTCATTGTCATTGTCATTGTCAAAATCCTAACAGGTGCATGCCTATTCACAATCTTCAAAAATGCGTGTGAAAATACTGCCATGCAGTGGTCACATAAGGTATTAAAAACAATCTATCCCAGTCAGATGCAAACCCTTGAGGATCAAACAATTTAAAGCTCCTTTTTGTAATAATTCTAGGTTTTACTTTGGGAATTTTACAATTCCTTATGGCATCTACAGTACAATGATCACTAACATCATCAGGAAAAACCCCTGTATAGGTTTATTTATGGGGTTTATAATATCTATTCGAGTGAACTTGCTTGGGTTCTTATGATTTGGTCGTGTAGGTGATTCAATACGTTGAGTAAGATTCACAGAATCACAATATGCTTTGAACTGATCTGAGTTTGATGTCAAACAATTCCAATTCAAATCACCCAATAATACAAGATCTTTAGGAAGCAGGTCAATTACACCAGCTGACAGTGAGGGGAGAGCATCACTGATAGCCCCAGGTGGTCTATAGCAGCCAACTATACATAAATGACAATCTTTTCCATATTCCAGGTCGATAGCCAGGAACTCAAACTGAAACTGATTTAAGAACAGTTGCATGAAAATTTGATTTAATACACATTGCAACCCCACCCCCATTACTTTTACGATCAGCTCGAAACACATTATACCCTTCTAATGCGATGTCATGGTTTAAGATTGATTTTTTAAGCCACGTCTCAGAGATAACCAAAATATCTTGGTCTAATTTTGGCAGCAGGCTACAAACATTTAAGTGTACAATGCCAAGGCCTGATCTATTTGAGAAAGCCAAAGGAGTTGAAACAATTCCAACTGGACCAGGATTTGGATTAATACTGGCCAATAAGAGCGACAACATTATCAGATATCGCTGTCTTCGATTTTTTGATGGAGGGTTACAATGTTCATTTCGAGAGTCCAATAGAGAGTTCGACAAGAAAAGAGGGTTCTTAAAGAAGAGTGAGTTCTTTGTCCCTGTATCCATAAACGCGAAATTACTAACAACCCGAAATATGAAGATAATATCCGTACATTTTGATGAGAGATGCATGTGGAGACGCGATAAATGAATCGCTTTGTCTTCCGTCTTCCTTGGTATGTCCCATTATCTGAGCATGGAGATTACCGCACAGAAAACCGCACCTTCATGATACCAGCGTTGAAGTGAGAATCGCACAGACAGCTCCACGACCCCGACGGAAGAGCAGACAGCAGAGCGATATGGAAGATAGGCCTCGTTTACAGGAGAACAACAGCTGGAGAGTTCAGACAAGGCGAAAAAACATCACCGACCTTGACTGCAAGTATCCCCACCTCCACGATGATCTGCGAGCTCCAGTTAGTTTAGTATCCGGGGGGTACTTCAAGGAACAGCCGTGACTTTCCGAACGCCGTTGTTAACGCAAACGTTTTCCAAAGTGAAAACGTGGTGATGGATGGCGACCCGGGGTAGTGCAACAAGTAAGCACGCTTCACCCAACGCAAAACAGCTTGTAGATAACTAAAAGTCCGGTCTGATTTTAATCCAGACTCAATGCAAGATAGAGCCCGATTTTAAAATGCCTTCTTGAGATAAAACACACAACATTTAAACGTACGGGAGAAGACTGCAGATCAGCAGATCAGACAAGACAAACACTGTGGTGCCATCTTGGATTCGCATTTTGTCCGCAATGAGAGAGTCTAAGCCCTTCTTGTGCTTCGGGGCAGATACATGTATTTATCATTCGCATAGCAATGATAATACAAGCCATGCTTTTCAAAAATAGTGTCTAAAGGGATCTTATTGACAGAAAACAAAAAAGAGCCCAACATAGAGCCTTGGGGGACACCACGAGTCAAGGGAACAACACCAGAGTGGAACTCTCCTATGTTCACTGAAAAAATATTATTTTTAAGAGCAGTTCAAATTCAACTTAGAGCAGTTTCATTGCGTCTAATGCCCACAACGTGCTCTAACCGAGACAAAAGAGGGTAACACTTTACTTGAAGGGGTGTGCATAAGACTGACATGACACCTTCATAACCATGACATGACATATGTCATGAATATGAAGTAGGGTTTATGCATGTTTATGACAACTGTCATTAATAAGTGTCTTTCGCTCAATAATGACATTTTGAATGCAAATATGACATTGTTTAAGATGTCTTTGTTATGACACCTTGACACAAACCATAACATCATAACCTGTCAGTGTCTTTGTCATGACAACTTGACATTAAATTAAGTTAAAATGTCATGTGGTTGGTTTTGACATTGGCTGTCATAAGGCCATTATAACTGTGTCATGAATATTTTTCGTGACCTCAACTACAGTGGTACAAATTGAATTTGTCATTAAACAGTTATAATGGCTTCATAACAGCCAATGTCAAAACCAACCACCTGACAGTTTAATGTAATGTTAACCAATAAAGCTAAGTGGTTTCTTAAGTTTGATAATTAATCTGCTAGGTCATGTTTATGACAGGTTGTGTTGTCTAGTAATGTCAAGTTGTCATGACAACGACACTGACAGGTTATGATGTATTGCTTATGTCAAGGTGTCATAACAAAGACATTTCAAACAATGTCATATTTGCATTAAAAATGTCATAACTGAGCGAATGACACTTAATGACAATTGTCATAAACATGCATAAAACCTCCTTCATATTCATAACATGTGTCATGTCATGATTATGAAGATGTCATGTTGGTCTTATGCACACCCCTTCGAGTAAAGTGTTACCCAAAAGAATACCATGACAAAAAATGCTATTGTTTAAGGAAGATTGTCAGACCCCTGTAATGGTTTGTGGGGTTTTTTTTCTCTATATTTAGAAACCTGGACAATGGTTACTCGTGTGTCTATGTGCATTGATGAGGTCAGTGTTGATATACGTCTCTCTCTGTTGCTAGAGGACGGAAATCACTTCTGACATAAGAACAATACGATACTAGAGGAGGCTCTGAAACACAATATCATCCTTCATTGACAAATGTACAATTATCCAGTGTGTCAGAAAGAGGTTTCCACAGCGATCAAAGATCTGCTCACACAAACACTTATAAACCTCACAGACCGACGGCCAACGACACAGACGACTGCAGGTATGTGAACCTTCATGATCTTTACTAATATTATAAGCAGTTTAATGTGACTTAAAGACTATTTAAAAAGACTCCGCCACTGGTAACTCATTTACATCATTTACCTTTTTTTGTCCTTTTTTGTTTGTTAAACTTAATAGTTAGAGTTTTATTAATGGATTATGCATTTATCTAGATTAATAATTGGGTAACGCTTCCTTTTACAGTCCTGTTACCCATGTACTTACTATGTACTTATTATAGTAATTGTAATTTTTGGGTAATAACTAGGTACTAACCCTGAACCTACCCCTAACCCATATACTTACCTTATATTAGCCAGTACTTTCTAGGTAAGTACACTGTAAGTACACATCAGTACTGTACTGTAAAAGGAAGCGTTACCAATAACTGATTAGGTGGATTAATACATTTTGATCATAAATGAAATATTTTGTGGCAGAAGCGATTTCCCGGAGCGACTAACACGGATATTATTTCCTGGAGCTGTTTAATCAGAAGAAAGAAGACATCATAAACACTGTGGTAATTAATGTTAAAAAATAAATATATAATATGTTAAGCTAAAAAATAAAATAAACACAGTCCAACATATTATGATGCATAATTATTTTATATTTCCATATGTTATTTATTACTAATTTTAGTTTTTGTGTTGCATATCTGTACAGTACATATTATGAAAAATATATTTTAACTAACTTAAATATCATCACAACAGCTGTGTGCAAAGTAAAACAACATGTATGAGTATGTGAGTAATTCTTGTGTTTTTGTATGACTCTCCTGATTAAAATCCAGCTAAAATCAGCAGTAGAATCAAATCATCTGTATCAGCTGAACATATTTGCCTATCCAGTTCAACAAACATTTATTTCCCAAAAGGAAGATGAAGAATTTGGGTCTTTTCGCTGTAACTGCTCTTCTGCTCTTCAACGGCTATCACTGCACCACAACAGTTTCTTCAACATCTGCAATATCTCCAACATCTGCAGCATCTGCAACATCTGCAATATCTGCAGCATCTGCAATATCTGCAATATCTGCAGCATCTGCAATATCTGCAATATCTGCAGCATCTCCAACATCTGCAATATCTGCAGCATCTGCAATATCTGTTAATGCCACAGCACCAGCTACACCAGCGACCATGATCAATGGCTCAACTACAAGTGGAGCAACAGTTGCAGCTTCATCTTCTGTCCATCAGCTTCTCGGTGCAGGTAGAATGATAACATTTACCATATTGAATCTGTCAAGTTTTGATGATTTGTTATTGCCACTTATTGTACCAAAAAAGTATATGTGGTATGAAAAAAGTTTGACAATTCAGTTCAATAATTGAACAACTGATGACAGACAAAGCGGAATAAATAAGAAGGTTAATTTATTGTATGAGACATATTTTAGTATCTATATTTTAAATTGAAGAAATGCTATAATACCAGCACTATGATTTCACATGAATGATTTCACTCAATTTGCCTTTGGATTCATAAATGTACATCTAACTCGTGGACATGGACTGGTCAACGCAATGAATTCACTCAAATTGTTTGAGCAGGTTCAGTTTGTTAAGGATTTCATGTGGTACAGTTATTCTCATGAGAATATTAAAATCAATATGAAATTTTGAATCTGTTAATAGCAGTATGTCTGACTGAAACTGGATATTCAAGGGGAAAAATGTTTTGCGTCTTGATTTTATCCATTTTAACAACTGACTGGATGGTGAAAAGTGGACTTTATACAAATTTCAATTCAATTTCAATTTTATTTTAAAATCATTATACAGAAATATATACATGCATACCTTTGCTCAATGGATTATTCAGAGTTTGGTAACAATGCCTAAAGTTATTTGCCTTTTTTTTTTTACATTATTCAATAGTCCACATGGTTTAAATAAAAAAGAGCAGAAGTTTCAGAGTAAAAAAAAGATTAAGATTTCACTTTTATTTATTTATTGGGATAATGTGCACTTACCATATGGATGCAAAAATTAATAAATAGACTATTGAATTATGGATGCAAATTCTCATTTTTGAACAATCATATTTGAATGGAATTTGATTTATTGGGCTCCTAAATAAATGCATGTGATGTGTTTTGTGTCTGTGCAGGTCTTCTTACCTGGATGCTGTCGCGTGTTCAGTGGAGGAATTAGAGACCTGAACGTCGACTCAATCCAGGAGCATCTTACAACTTAATATTAATTGTTTATTTTATGTTATGTTCAGATTTTATTGTTTTGTTTTTTTGGTCTTCAGTGTGGCCATGCTAATAAATATCCTTCAATATTGCTTTGTGTTGTATCATCATATGTACACCAATCTATTAGCCCATCACATGCAGCTCATATAAGATATAGGGAAGATGAAGGAAAATACTGCTCTATATTGAGATTTAAGTTTTGCATGTGCAGGATGATGATGCATCAGCCAACGGGGTTTTAAGGGAAATAAATACAAACATTTGTTAATTTAGTTTTACATTTAAAATGTACAATTATTCAAAGAGGCCATCTTACCTCAGAATATAGAACAAGAATTATCTTATATAGCAAAAATCAATTCCTTCAATTATAACACAAGGTCCAGCTCGCATTTCCACTGCCACCAACATCATGTGTGCATGCAGCTTTAATAATGTTATTCATTAAGTTATAAAAAGTGTGACTGCTTCTTTAAGAGTAGACGTGACAGGATTAACCAATCAGAAGGGAGAACGTGTAGAGCGTGGCCTTCGCTTGTTTCCCAGACCAGGAAGTAACAATAATTCGAGAAGAGATTAACGTTTCATTTTTTTGTGCTATTAAATATAAAATATAAATAAATTCTGGGGCTTTGAGTTGGCACGGGATTTTGCATATCTCTGCTGTTCCATCAATCGGGAACGTTATCAAAATAATATTCATGAGTTAAACGACTTGACCTTATGGGGTTAGACTACATTATTCCACATAAATAGATTCACAAACAAATGTGAAGAGATTCACAAAAATGTATAAAATTCCCCAAAAAATAGATTAAGCTCCTGTCACGATTTGGTTGTTTAATGTCTGTCGTGTTTAATTTGATCAAGTCATGTGATCCTGCCATGTGTTCCCTTGTCTGATGTGTCATGCTGTCATTGGTTCATTGTTTCACAGGTGTTCCTTGTCTTGTCATTAGTCTTGTGTGCATTTAAGTCCTCATGCTTGCCATATGTCTTGGTCAAGTTTGGTTCCACTGTTTGGTAAGCTTTATGTCCATGTTTCTGATTTGCTCTAAGTTCATGCCACGCCATGCTTTTGTTTTGTGTTTGTTCACGTTATCCTAACTTAACTGCACTTGGGTTCTCATCTACACTTGCCTCCAGTGGACTCACTTACAGAACACTTGACCCAGACTCACGGCAAACATGAGGGCTGAAATACACACAAGACTGATCGTGACAGATCCACAAATACATGTAAAGAGATTCACAAAAATGAATAAAATTCACAAATAAATAAAATGAGATTTGCAAGAATACATATTTACAAATGTGTTTTATGTCACAAACACGGCTGAGTAATAATGCAACAATTCTAACCCCATATGACCTAAATCAAAATCGTTAAAAGAAATCATCAAAATAAAATATCAATAAAAAAAATAATATATATATATATATATAATAATATAATAAAACTTTATTACAGACTCACCGGTCCAAATAAAACAAACAAGACAGGACACACAATACAATACAATATAATAAAAAACAAATACCACTTCAGAGGAGACAACTATACCAATGCTTCCTTAACTTGGACTTATACCGTGTAGTGTTAAACTTGATATTGGTCAATGCCAAAATTATATAATTCTCTGAGTTATTCAGCCGACATATAAATTTGTACATAACATTTCTCAATGTGGCTTGCAGAGTGTTAACACCTGCAGCCACAAACATCTCACTGGCACTACACCAGCGTGGTCTTCTCAGCAGAATTCTCAGTGCATCGTTGTAAGCTACCTGAAGTTTATGCAAGCTAGCTTTGCTGAAACTAGACCACAAGTGGGCATTGTGGAGAGGAGTGCAGTAAGCTCTGAACAAAGCAACTTTCACTCTATCTGTGCACCCACCAAACTTACGAGCCAAACTATTCGCCTGAGCATATATAGATCGGCATTGCCTATAAACGTCAAGGTCATCCTTCAACTGATCTGTAATGAGATGCCCAAGATACTTATATTTGCTCAAAACTATCAAGGTATTACCTGACAATTTAAAAGGAGGAAACATTTGACATTTATTGATGTTTTATTAACAAGGTTCGGGAGGAACACGTTCTAATGATCAAACAATCAAGTCATTCCAGCCAGCTGTCAGCAATCAGTAATCAACAGGTCCACTCAATCAGCACGAGTAAAGCCTATAAATATACTCAGTCGACTCACCCATATTCCTCGACAGTTTTCAGCATTTGGTTTACCGCTTTGCTACGATGTCCCAAATGCTGTTTTCACCATCCGATGACGAGCTTAACCACTCCGCCACCTTCCCGTGCAAGATTCGGTTTGCCGCACGCTTCAGCCCGCGGCGCCAGGATTTCTGCGAGCCTGGGTCGCGCTCCAGATTCCACCGCCACGAGACCTCACTCGCCTCCCGCTTCAGCTGAGCTTTTCAGCACGGCGCTTCCCGCCGCAGTACCATACACAGCTGGGCCCGCCGGGTCACCCTCTGCCTCCCAGTGTTTTCCTCCTGCTGTTTTTAACTCTTTTCCTCTGCAGTGGCCTCCGGCTCCCATAGCAGACGCTAGCGTGAGGCTGCCTCCGCTAGCGGTGCAGGCTCAAACTTTCCACCACCTTCCCGTGACTACTGCTAACCCCTCCCATTTTCAGTGGCCTGCAGCTCAAGCAAGTGCGAGACCGCCTCCGCCAGCAACACAGGCTCAGGCATCTCATTTATTTCCTCCTTTTCCCCCTTATGCTTTTCTCAATTTTCCTTCTCAAGCCCCACAGGCCGACTTAAGCGTGAGGCTGCCTCCGCCGATAGTCGCAGCCCAGGCTTCTCTCCCTTACAGCTCTCTCTTAAATGCCAAATCACAATATTCTCTTTTCACAGCTACCCCGATGCCAGTCCCACCAAACGCTGTCGCTCTGGAGCCTCCCCCAGTGACTCAAAACATCCGAGCACAGATTCTGGCAGGTGCGGATGTAGACCTTTCACATTTACTTTCTCTGCTTCCCGTATCCGATTCTAACCGTCAGTTAGACTGCGGGGATTTTTCAGTCACTTTAAAAAAACAGAATACACATTCATCACGTTTACTTTCTTTTTCGGAGTTTTCAATCGCTTTCACCCACTTCACAGAAATCATTTGCTCAGCCTTCCCTCATAGGCAACGCGAACTGAACGACTATTTAGCGCTGATAGCCGAGCTCGCGTTGTCCTACGGGGGAGGGCACTTTTACACATATCACAAACTCTTCTCAGCAAAATGCGCTGTTAGGGTTTCACAGTGGAACCAATGCCCATACTGGGGAGCACTAGACACTGACCTGCACAGCAGAGTTTTCCTTGGCTGCAGGAATATTTCTTGCGCGGTCTGCAGGTCAGTGGCACATTCCACAATATCGTGCCCTCAAGTTAACCCCTCCGTTCCTCCATGCCCGGAAACGGGACCAGTCAAATCCACCAGCTACACACCAAGACCGGCGACTAGCAACCCATATCCACACGAGGCTAATTTCCGCTCCAGAGCACTTACGGACAGCATGCCCTGTCCTGTATGCCCTGTCTTTAAAGATGTCAATAAAAAATCTAAAAATTATTTATCGACTCCCGTGAATATTTCTCGCCTTTCTATCGAACTAGCTCACCACCCGGACTCTGACTTCACTGAATATCTGCTGTCTGGCCTACAACACGGTTTTAAACCGGGAGTGGTTTGTCCGCTCTCCCAAAACATAATCTGCGATAATCTCCAATCGGCTCTCGCCGAGCCCAACGTGGTAGACAACCTGATTAAAAAAGAAGTCGAGTCAGGCTTCATGATTGGCCCTTTTGACGAGCCTCCTTTCAAAGTTTTTCGCATTAGCCCCATTGGAGTGGCTACGAGAAAGTTTTCAGGTAAGAAACGCCTCATAGTCGATCTGTCAGCTCCACATAAATCCCTGTTCCCAAGCATTAACAGCCTGATCCCACTCGACGAATTTTCTCTCAAATATCACGACGTAGATCACGCAGTCGACCTCATAAAAATCGTGGGTCGGGGTGCCTGGCTCGCAAAAATTGACATCACTTCGGCTTTTAAAGTGATGCCCATCCACCCGGATTCATGGCACTTATTCGGAGTGCGCTGGCATGGGAAATTCTATTTCGCCGTACGCTTAACTTTTGGATGCAAAAGCAGCCCCAAAATTTTTGACATGCTATCTGAAGCCATTTGCTGGATCTTGTCAAACAATTACGCAATTCCTCACCTCATTCACCTGCTGGACGATTTTCTAATAATTTCGCCTCCCGGCGCCATTCCAGCAGCCCAGATCCTCACAGTTCAAAGAGTATTTGCCGAGCTCGGAATTCCCATCGCCCAGGAAAAAACCATGGGTCCCGCCACATCCATCGAGTTCCTTGGCATTAAGCTAGATTCAGTTAAATACCAGGCCTCCCTGCCCAAGGAAAAATCGATAGAATAATCCTCATCTCATCTACCCTCGTAGACAGTTCAAAGTGTTCCAAACGCGAACTCCTATCCATGCTCGGCCACTTAAACTTCGCCATGCGCATTATTCCACAAGGCCGCCCTTTCATTTCTCATCTCCTCTCTCTCGCGTCTTCAGTTCACGCACTAGAGGATCTCATTTCCCTAACTCCAGCATGCCACGACGTACTCAGGCTATGGATAACTTTTCTTAAACAGTGGAACGGCCTATCATTTTTCTATAAGGATCTAATTTCCTCCCCCATCGACATCCAGCTGTTCACAGATGCAGCCCCCTCAGTCGGCTTTGGGGGGTTCTGCCAAGGACGCTGGTTCGCGTCTACGTGGCCCCCACAAATACAGGACACGCTACAGTCCTCCGCATTATTCGAGCTCTACCCTCTCGTAGTAGCAGCCTTCCTGTGGGGGAAAGAATGGACTGCTAGCAGTATCGTAGTGCATTGTGACAATGAAGCTACAGTCCAGTGCAT